CAAGCCAGGATGCCGTTGGCCTTCTTGGCCACCTGGGCACACTGCTAGCTAGTGCTCAGCCAGCTGTTGACCAGCACCCCAAGCTCCTTTTCCGCCGGGCAGCTTTCCAGCCACTCCTCCCCAAGCCTGTAGCGTTGCATAGGGTTGTTGTGACCCAAGTGCAAGACCCAGCACTTGGCCTTGTTGAACCTCATACAACTGACGTTTGCCCATCGATCCAGCCTGTCCAGATCCCTCTGCAGGGCCTTCCTACCCTGAAGCAGATTGACACTCCTGCCCAACTTAGCGTCACCTGCAAACTTACCAAGGGAGCACTCAATCACCTCATCCAGATCACTGATGAAGATATTAAACAAGACCGGGCCCAAAACTGAGCCCTGAGGAACACCACTCATGACTGGCTGCCAGCTGGATTTAACTCCATTCACCATCACTCTCTGGGCTCGGCCATTCAGTCAGTTTTTTACCCAGCAAAGCACACATTCACGCAAGCCACAAGCAGCCTGTTTCTCCAGAAGGATGCTGTGGGAAACAGTGTCAAAGGCCTTACTAAAGTCCAGGTAGACAACATCCACAGCCTCTCCCTCATCCACTACACAGGTCAGCTGGTCACAGAAGGAGATCAGGTTGGTCAGGCAGGACCTGCCTTTCATATGCTTGCCAAGCTTAATGCTTTCTGAAAAACTGTGACTTCTTGAGTGAGCGTGGCCAAAGGCTAGTCAAGTAAAGATCTGCACATGGACTGCAAATCATTGCTGCCCTCTTCCAGCTCTTTCCTTCTCTGCTGCTTTGTTTGAAGCATACCTCTAATATGGGGACCTAATGTCTGAAGTCTGCCAAAAGAAACGAAAGGGAGTGGATACTGTGAAAAAGTCCTAAACAGGGCTGGAAACTATAAACTAAAAAATTCTATTCAGTGGAGCTCTTTGAAGAATGCAAAGTGAGAAGAAAATGGATCAAACAATCATCTTTCAAACATGAAGTGAGCAACCAGACCACCTTCCTAATCTGCACATGGAAATGAGCTAGCTATTGCCTGTACTTGTGCCTAGCCTAAATTTCAGAAGTGTTTTTTAAGTCAGGATACATTCTGTTATTCTATTCCACAGCCACTTTTGGAGTCAGTGAGGCCTACGAGTACGTGGTAGAATACAGATGACTGACATGTTTAATAGTCGAATTATCATCTGCAAAGCGGGCATTGTAAAAAGCAAAACTAAGAAAGGTGACAGATCACCATTTTGGAACTCCTAGATTTGAGAAAATTCAGGGGTGGGGGGAGGGTTGTAGAACTGAAGTATAAATCCATATAATTGAATGCTGTACAATTTCCATAAAACATGCTTTTATCTACTAAGGTTTGCGCCAGGATTCCACTCTACTTTTCACTGACATTACACTTAGCTTTATACTAGTTAAACACCTTAAAGACAAATGCCTACTAAAAAATCTTTTATAAAACCAGCAGTTTCAAAGAAATAACAACTTTAGGGTTCTTTTTTTTTAAAAAAAAAAGCTGGAATCCATACTTCGCCACTTCTTTTTTCTCAGTAGTCTCTTATTAATGAACATCCTGCCCTGGAGAGGGCACTCTGTGACCACACTATGTATTCTAGCATCCTTATTAACCACCTTTTAGTTTTAACCCAGATACGCCTGTGATCCTAACAGTTTGCTTAGCCAGTATACAGCTCATGTCAAAACATAAACATATTAAGAAAGGGAACAATATGGTGCCATGCTCATCAGTTCAGCCCAGCAACATGTATAAAGTCCTGCATCTTGCAACTATGTTTTATTATTAATGACAGTCTATTATTTGATGCTTTTTTATGTACAAGTCATGTTTAAACAGTCAAAATGTAGTAATTCTACAGTATTCTAATAACTGATAAGTTACAGGTGTTGAAAGCTTTCCATTAACAGTGTTTCTCCCATTTCTTCCATAGTAACAACAATCACAATCTATAAAAGTTCTGCTGGTATAGTTTACTGATGTTGAGGGAATTAATACAGATTATACACTCCTCTGAATAGTTCAAATATCACTTCTGGAAATACAGAGCCACTTTCTTTTCCAGATATTTCCTCCACAATAACACTAATCACCCTAAATTCTAGTATACAAGATAAAACCATACAATGAAAATACATGGAAAACTCCCTGTGCTAGGCAAACTTTTAAACATACTTCAAGGCATAATTCAATGACTGACTGGCAATTTGGGAGGAAAAACCCCTATCCCTGTATATGAATATTCCAAATACTCCATAATTACCTAGTTTGATGTGTTCTACCACCCCTCAGAGGCAGAATACTGAGGATGTGAACTATTGTTCTGATGCAGTCTAGCAAGTCCTACAGGCAAGTGTTTTCCACAAGTAAAAAAAGAATCCTAGTAATACTAAAAGAATCACCGTTTTTTGGGCAAAATCTTTTAACAGCATAGTGCCTTCTTTCCTCCTAACTATGCTGTAAGAAAATAAGGTAACTACATTTGTACTCAAACAGACTCAGTCTGCAGAACTTCCAAATTCATAGTTTAATGGCTAACTATATAGCTAAAATAATGTGTGACTACGGTACACTTACACTAAATGCATAAGCTTTGCTTTGAAACACTGTCTGGATATACACTGACACTAGTGCAACAGAAGATCAATTCAGTAAAAGTACCTGGATGTCCAACACTGAATTTTTATGGTAGTTAAAGGATCAGCCAAGTGAAACTGTCAGCAAGGGCCCAAAGCAAAATAACAGAAAAATATTTCTCCTTTCACCACAAAAGCAGCCACCCGCATGTCAGTAGTTTCAGTGAGACAGACTGAAGCCCAGTTTGTGCAGGATTTGCAGATACTAAGTCTGAAAATTAAGATTTTCCATCTCACAGCCAGGGCTGTTTAAACAGTAATGGGTTCAACAGCTCCCCATTTTCACAGATGATAGCCAGTTCATCTTCTTATTAATATTTTAAGAGGCTCCATTTCTTTTACCCAGCTGCTACCCTGATCCCTTTTTCTCATCCCCCTCCATTAAAAGTTTCCACTTCCTTAGAGCACCTGGCACACTCTGTTCTCTCCTTGCTCTTAGATACTTGTCCTGAATCTTTCTTCTAATGAGAGCTTTTGTCACATCCCACTTCAGTCTTGCCAGACCTTCAGCTCTCGGCTCTGAGGTAGAAATACACACCTTCCTACTATATCCTTGAAGTAAGGATCTTTTTTTTTTTTTTCTCCATTTATTTTGAGTTCAGGAAGCTGTAGATTTCCTAACAGGTGCTGAGCTCCTGATCAGTCAGAGGCACTTCATTCATTTACTGTAATAAAGCATCTGTAATGAAAGTTGCACACGACAAGCATAACACCTAATTAATATTTGTTCACCATAGGAAGCTCTCATTCTGTTAAGAGCATATTCTCATAGAGCTCTATAGATATTGTATGTGGAAAAGTAGCATTTATCAAGCAACCTGAGAAAAGCATCTGATGGCACAGTTCCTGGGTACCCATTAAAAGCTTTACAATCAAAACTATTGATCCTTTGAAATCTTTAATTACTCTGAGGGGACTAAACTGTAAAGCTTAATAAAGTAAATCTATATGGCTGAGCAGAATTCATGGCTGCTCATATACAATACCATCAGTACTGACTGATAAATTGATCCATATTGGCATTGTTAAAAAATGACTGGCATTTTCCCTTTGGAAACCAACAGAGAGGTGGGAAGAGTAAGGTGCAAAGCAACAGAGAGGTGAGTTGGCTTGGAGATCAGACACTGACTCACTGTAGCGTACACTTCTCCTCATATTGTATACTGCCTGTTTAACTGACTTCAAAACTTAAAATTTAAGACATAACATCAAACTTTGACAACAATCTTGCACTGCTAGCAAATGAGATTAATTTTTCCTCAAAACTTAGTAAGTCTATTCAATATTTATGTTTCTAGAGAAGATGAAGATGATTATTTGATCATCAGAAAAAAATGAATAATCTCAAGAAAAGTTGGATTATTGAAACCATAATATTAATCCACAACATTTGTCATAACCTTCACAAAAATAGTGTGGCAAGATAGTCATTCTTTCTAATATACTTTTGTACAACAATGTGCAAATGCAGAAAATTAACTGCAGTTTTTTCTCACAGTATTGTTCATACTACATTAATACACAATTACATAGCAGATTACATGTAAATTTCCCAAATAAATCAATTAGGACCACCTTTTAAAGAACCCGTCTCTGGTAAAATCTCCCAATGTGATACAAAACTAGATAGATGACTTTCTGCCACAAGGCAGTTTTCAACAACTATGACATATCTAGTTCCAAAAGTAACGCATGCCTCCTTAGCTACCTTTACAAAGCCAACAATCTGAGAATCACTGACTTGTCTCCACTAACCGCTATTCCCATTCTCTTACCTGTTATCAAGGCAGAGTGGTAATATCCACAGGATACAGAGGAAACAGGTTTTCCAACATCCACTTGACAAGGGACACTGACACAGTCTTCATCGGCCAAGCCAATCTGACCTTCCGAGTTGTCACCCCACACAAAAAGCTGCCCATCCTCTAAAACGAAGACACAGATAGTTAACAATTTAAAAAACAAAACTAATAAAAAGTTCATCTACCCACTTAAGCGCACTTCATTAACCCTGTGTATGATACTACTAAATGTCATGATCTCAGGGACATAAAATGGTATTTAGCACAATGCAACAAAACAGTCTGAAGTAAGAGGGTATCCCTTAAGCTTTTCAAAAGTGACACTGAACACTCAGTCATCCACCGATGTTAGACCATAAATAGCAACAGGAAAAGTACTATGTAAAAACATTCCTTCAAAGAGAGGAATATTGAGCGTATAAGGCAATTCAGTTGCCAGAGGTCAGTATGAAAATATTACGGTGAATTCCAGGCATCTTCTCATTTCTAGCAGCAAGTCACCACTTTCTCGTTCTTCCAAATTTATTCTCTGTTCTGACTTTGGTACACATCCCACTTATTCTTGCTTTATCTTTCAGTTCTCTTCACAGGTGATTATATTGCCCAGCTTCATTTTGTTGTCCTTAAACTATCACAATAGCTGTTCCACATTTATTAAGACCAGCCTCTGCTGACACAAAGACCAATGGCAGCAGTAAAAAGAAAAAAACAAACACCAAAAAAAGGTAGCAAACAACATGAAAAATCTCTAGATGTTTCTAGAAGAGATGAGGTCTTCTCGCGGCATATTTCTTATTGGTTGGAAAGAAGTTGTGCATAAAAAAATGTATCATCTACAGTGCTACAGAGATGCTGTTGGGAACTAAAATAATTCAAAGTTGACTTACAAATCTCAGGAGAATGTTAGCAATTGTCACAAAAAAAATACAAACCTAACGAGGAGGCTAGCATCTCTCTCATACACTTTTATGCTGTCACATTCTGAAATGACAGCCTCGATAACTTCTCCTAAACATGTACAAAAAGAGATGCTTTACAGCACAACTTCAGAAATCATATTATAGAGTAATAAAGGACCACCCATCCAATGGCTTAAAGTATTATAACTGTCTGGACTTCAACATGTCACAACTGTATAATTCTGCCATCAGAGAAACAGGTCATAGGTTTGGCCTCTCTCAGAATTAGTAATGACACAGCTGTGTAGCCTGTACCAGTAGACCAAAATCGTTGCAGCAAGAAGTGGAATTGGAGAAACTCAGTTTTCATAAGATTCATGTTTTATAGTTGCTTCCCTGGAAACGAATTGAAGATTTTTCCCATGTTGAGGGTATTCATACTGTCTCTCCTTTGTAAGGATTCCTGCTAAACTAGGACGGGTTGAGCTCCCATTGCAGGCCATCGCTCACGGAAAACGTCTACTTTCACAAAAATTGTAGGAAGTTAATGAGCCTGCCACCCCTCACTAAATTGTGTCGAAACAGACAACTGGCTATCAAAAAATCACTATGGTCACTAGGGAAAGAAGACAGGGAGGCAGGGAAAAAACACCCACACATGCATACAGAATGCTGGAATAAATGTTTCCCTGGAAACATGGCTGGACACACATAAATAGATTTTATTAGCCGTTGTTCTTACCAGTTACTGCTGCTGAGGTGTATGATCCAGCTGCTAGCTGTTTGATCTTGTGCTGGTTGGTAAAAAAACTAATTAAATGAAATGTGGTCCTTTCCTCTGTGTCACCTAATCCCAACTGACCTTCACTGTTACCTCCAGCAGCATACACATTTCCTTTTTCTGCATACAGAAAAGCACATGTAATACACAGAATGAAGACATTCTCATCAGTGATAAAGAGGCAGAGAAACTGGAGTAAGTAATTAAATTTTTGACGGAAATACATAACTGAAAAGTTGGGGTCTAATGCCTTGAAATATCCTCAAGTTGACATTAGCAGTTTATGTTGCAGCTAGCAAGGAGGCTTTCCTGCATATGCTTGGATCAGAACTTTCTGAAGGCCTTACATGTACTTAGACTAACTGTGTTTCCCACCATTCTGGAGAAAGATCTAAAAAGTAAATACAATCTGAAGTTCTGCAAGAGTTCTGAGAAAATGACTACTAATAGCCCCGGCAGGCAGAAGCAGCTCCTTCCATAATTAACATATATTTTAAGATAAAGCAGGAAGAAAATTGTGAATGATGTCACAGGCAAGAAAACTGAAGTTGTATTAGTACATAAATTAAAGAGACACGTAACTTGATAGATTTGAGTACTGTGAATGAAATATAATTTTGCTTAGATTTTTATTATTTTACTCATTTTAATATTTAAAGCACTTTTAATTAAATATGTCTTTATTTTAGAATCTAAAAATTGAAGTTAAAGCTGAATATTAGCTTAAGAGAACTTTAAGATATATCTTCAGTTTTAGTATGTTTCACATCTAAAGTGCTCATCTATGATGAAAAAGATAAGTCCCATTAAAAACACAAGTCTGGACACAAATGTAATAAGCAACTGACATACAATTTATAAATGGTCCTTGCTATATATATGGCCACAAATTATGTAGCCAGCATCTACACTAAAAGTGCCTAGTATTTACCCTGTGCAGTCTTGCATACTCAATTGTTATTAAAATGTTCTGTTTTATTCTAATAGTCTTATTTACAGTGCTCAGGATCTCCACATACATAAAACTCCTAATAATCAAACAATCCTCTTTATAACATTACTGCAAGCTAAAGGAAAGATGGCTATTCCATGACATAAATTTTAGAAGCATGACAAGAATTTGCATCAATTCTCTGTATACTGTCTCTCTAAAAATTTATTTAGTTTAAATCTACAGTTTATTTATTTATAGCTTAATAAAGCAACTTGTCATTGAAATAGCAGACTACCTTGTCTAATCAAAATGCAACAACATTTGAAGACTTGAAAACATTCAGTTCTACTGTATATACTCAAACATATAACTTCACACTAATAAAGATAAATTACTTGTCAAAGCTACATTTGAGTACAGATATATAAAAAATACTAATATACCTTTACAGTGCTTAAATGAAATATTGATAATTGTTAACCACACCTCAAATGCCAGCAAGAAATTTTTTCATCTGTCTATTGCTAGTAAACTCCTATATAACATTATTTTATAAGTGCATTGGCTCAGAATAAATCAAGCATTCAAAGAACTGGATATCAAAACCCCAAGTTTAACAGTCCCATTTTAATTCATTTTTATTTCCTAAACACTCCTGGGGTTCCTAATGTAATTTTGCATGAAAGCAAAGGAAGAAATCTATCTTTAATATGTATATAATATAGGTTACATACCTGTGTAAACTAAAGTGTGGTTTCTTCCACAAACAGCAAGTTTTGTTTTTTCTGGTTTTAAAGCTATGAATTAAAGCCAAAGGGGGGGGGAAAGTTATAAACAAGCTAATAGCTGGTTCAACAACAAAATGTTCTGTGCTCTAGAGGGAGCTCTGATTTTTTTCATATTATTACCAACAGAAAGATTACAAGATTCGTGGCGCATTTGAACCTAGCACGACACCAAGATTCTCCCAAGACAAGAAAATAGATAAAAACTTATAGCTGACACTCAGGTTAAGCTGATGATGGCTACTTCATCCCAATGCCACATTCCCCAGAATTTACCATTTATGGCATATTCCTCAAAGAATATGTCAAGTTGCAGGATAAAATGCATGCTTAAAACTGTCTTGAGTTTCACTAACAGTACTATTCTTAACTCCCTCTAACACTTTTCCCGTTATCTTAAATCTTTAAAATAATACCATTCCTTTACCTCATCATCCCTATCTTCCTCGTTATGCACAGCTACCTTTTTGGCTAGACTTTTGCTCTGCACTGCCCTCTTATTCATCACTAAACTCAATTGCTAAGGACAGTCCTATCTGGACTAGTGCCCCAAATGTTTGCATACACCATCCTGTCCGAATTTCAGCTCAATTACCACCCACCCATTGCATGTGCTTCTCTGCAGTCTGGTCACTGTGAAAGACTGGGAATGTATGAGACAGAGTCAAGAGTTATCTTGGTGAGAAAGAGAGAACAGAGAGGTGTCTTTTCTCCCATGGCAAGTGCACTCCATTTCAGAAACACGTGGAAAAAGTCCGACTTTTCCATCCTCTCTCCAGTTATTGATCGTTGACAACAACTTACCTTCTCTCAGCCATGTCCGTGTGCCCTACACTCTTAAAACAGCATTATTTTAACATATCACTAATTGCTTTTCCACTGCACTAGTCCATGACAAAGCCAACAACCATCATCCCTTTCACAAACCCTTTTTCAGTCCTTCCAAATCAACTTTCATCAGCTCCATAACACCAAGATTGAAGTTCCTTCTACCAAGTCACCGAAGAAACCTATCTACTTAAGCATGTACTGTCTCTGGTCTATCACACAGACACAAACATGAACTGTCCAAATTCAACTTCCTGCTTATCCTGCCTGACACCTACCACTACCACAAGGCTGGAACCATAACACTTCCAATGTTGGCTTCTTCCTACAATCTTAATCTGCTGCTTTATATCCCAGAACCCTGCCTCCAACTTCAGAGAAGATCTTAATCAGCTTTTCAGAAGCCTGTGCTCCCTAACCTTCCTCCCACTTAGACTAATCAATTTGATGAGCCACGCTATATTTACAACGTTGCTGGCAATTTTTCATAACCAATTTCATTAGTCTCTAGTCAAGTCCCAGAAGATATTTTCTCAGAAAACATGCAGCCACAGCCATGTGGCCCCAAGCAGAAAGTGAAATGTGTCCTTGCAACCCCATTCCCAAAGCCAAGTGATGACTGAAAGCTAGTGAGAAAAGCTCCAGGACTTTCTCCTAATGCCGACAGAAGAAAGATACCCCCCTCGTAACTTATTCAGTGGATGCCAGGTCTGGTTTGCATTGCTGTCATCTTCTCTTTGTCTTTTATTCTCCATTGCAATTTGACAGTAAAAACAAAACTTGACACCCAATTCATTTAAGCCCAGGTAAGAATCAATCTCTCACATGGCTGACAGATGTGAACCTGAGAGTAGCTGCATTCTCCCTCTGAAGTGAAACAGAGAGAGGAACAGATAAAGGACAGTAGAATAAACTAAATCAGGGAGAAAAGAGTTTGAACAAGCAGGATAATTTGCTTTTAAAAATAAGCTAACAGATCGATGTGCTGGCAGAAAGGATGAGGAAAAACATTTCATGGTGAAAAGAAATGTGTTAATGGGATAGATCTGACTTGACATAACTAAGGCGATAGGGAAAAAGTACTGACTTAGTTTTGTTTGACAAGATAAAACTGCCTAGGAAAGATCAAGAAGATAACAGTGCAATGAAAACATATTTTACAACACATGAAAGAATATGGGCATTTATTTTACTGCTTCATACAAATATGTTAACATTTATGCCCCCTCAGGCACTTCTCACACTTGCTAAAAACGTAGCAGTACTTGTAGAAAGCTCCTGATAAATTTTTTCATTTATAAAGGTGCTAAGACAAAAATGATACAAAGGTGCTGTTGGAACTCTGATTTCTAACGCATAGACAACACTGCAGAGACCAGGCATCTGATCAATGTCTTTGCAGTCACAATAAAGACGTGGTTTGTCAGAAAAGGCAAATGTTACACAAAATGAGAGCCCTCACAAAAGACAGGACTGATAGAATCATAGAATGGTTTGGGTTGGAAGGGACCTTATAGATCATCAGGTTCCAACCCCCCTGCCATGGGCAGGGACATCTTCCACTACACCAGGTTGCTCAGAGCTCCATCCAATCTGGCCCTGGACACTTCCAGGGAGGGGGCAGTCACAGCTTCTCTGGCCAAGCTGTTCCAGTGCCTCACTGCCCTCATAGTGAAGAATTTCTTCCTCATATCTGATCTAAATCTACCCACTATGTAGAGGATATGATTTAGATTCTTCGTATGTGAGCTTGCGCAGTAATATCCTACACATGATGAGTAAAGAAGGCAGAATCAGTTACTTTGTAGTTGCACCTTATAAAGTAGTTTTTCACAAGGGTCTCCTTTGAAAAAGACTAAAAAAGAAAAATTAAACAAACCTTTAACACATGTTGGTTTGCTGACAGTGTTCTTTGATCCTAGTCCTAATTGGCCCCAGTTGTTACTGCCGAACATGTATAGTTTACCTTTCCCTGAAAAAAAATGCACAGTCAAAATCCATACAAGTGTTTGAATGTCTCACACAAGACAAGATGGTCATTCACACACTGTGCTATTTATTACTTCCTTTTTAACATAAGGTTTAAGATTAGGCAATTCAATATTTAAGTGTAAACAATAATTAATGTCCTTGTGAGTTTTCAGTGTAAAAGTAGTAACCGCATTGTTTAAGTAAGAAATCCCCAGCCAGAAGAAGGGACAAAAAGTAGAACAAACATTCTCTCCTTTAATTACAGCACAGATAAAGCACTCTTCAGAAAATAAAATGTCGTACTCTTGGACAGACCCTGCAGTTCAGAAACCACAGTATCTATAGGCCTACTTTTAAAATAAGAGCACATTTAACTGAGCATTCACATCTTTTACCCCAAAGACAGGAATGAATAGTGCAGCTATATAATTAGTACGAACACAAATTTGTTACATTCAGCTTATTTTATTGTTTGGGGGGAGCTATTTATTTTACTGCTAAATGTCTTCTCTTAAAACGATTTACAAATTTGCGTTTCTACAGAACATGGTTGCTGATAAATTTTCAAATGTGTTCACAAATTGTATTAATTTGTTACTCTGCATACAAAGAAGTAATAGATAAAACCACCATGCTGTCAGGGAGATTTGTAAACCTAAATGCAAACATTAGATTACAAATCTTCAACAGGAGCAACACTAGAATCATATTCCAGAAACTGGTATGAGGTGTCACTGAACTTGCAGGTTTGACCATTATGAACAATGAACTGTTATAATTCTGAATAACCAGTATTTTTTAAAAGGATGGTATATGAACAGATGACATTTTTGTCATGCATGCAAATTAGCCAAAACTGACTACTGACAATACCTTAAAATGAAATAATTTCATTTCCTTTTTTCAAACTATTACCTTTTGTAAAGCTGTGAAGTTCACACCCAAAGATAAAACCCGTGTTCCAACAGAAATCTTTGCAAAAAAACAGAAACTGATTTGTCAAAAAACCCCACCTTTTACCACTGTTAAAAGATTTTTTGCTTTTGATGAAAGTCTGCAGAGCTTTGTCAGTTAGACTGCATCACAAGACTGTCATGTAAATAAACTTTGTCACCCTAGCCATCAACAACTATCACCTGATCACAACGCAATCCAGCAATTCCACCTAATAATGTCAAAATACTATGGCTGGCTGTACTTGAGTAGCGTAAGTTCCCAGTGAAGGTTCTGAATGTGATTTACAGAGACTTTGGAATAATATTGAAATGTTTAAAATACAACAAAAATACTTACTCTGTCAATAAAATTCATTTGTTTTCTTAAATATAACCACATAATTAAAAAAAACCCAAACGAATAACAACTAACAATAACTAGTATCTAAAGTCCCAATCAAATTGTCAGCTTTGACCTTTTTTTGAAACATGGGGCTACGTGTCAATGTTATGTCTTTGCAAGAAAGTTGGAAGGGAAGCAAGTCTGAGGTCAAGGCTACACTCACGCATTTGTATCACCATCCTGATTTTGATAATGGAATCGCATCAAAACATACACAGAACTTTCTGTCACTTTGAGCAAAACACTTCTTAACAGAAATAATTTTTATTAGCAAATTACTTCCTATATTGGTACATGCTTCCTTCTATCCTTGGTTTGTACTTTTTTAACTGCCTTTATAAGACAGTAGTGGTCCTGTGGGAATATGATGCCAAGCTGCATAATTCAATTTAAGCACATTCTCTTTTATCCATTCAACATTCCAACAGGTCATGCTTTTCATCCTATAATCTGCTGGGTTTTATACCAGTCTTTAAATTCTCAGATATTGCTTCATAAGCCAAGAAACTTAATAGATGAATTTTTATTTTTTTTACATTCTTTTATAACAGTCTTTTATAATTTCAGGTTTCTAACACTTAGCACTGTAACAGAAAATAAGAAAACTGGGAAGCGGGTAATTCAGACAGTGAATGAAAACTAATAGGCACTACAGAGGAATCTAAACAAATGCCTATAATGAAGCAACATTTTTTGGTCTGTACAGCAAATCAGGTTTTGGAACAGACTTGATGCAATCTAAGCTGGCCAGGAAACACAACAGAATTTTGTATGCAAAAGGCCTTATTTTCATAATTGCACACTGAGATATCTCCAGACATCACCACAGATGCACTGAAGTGAGAACTGATTCAACAGCAGACAAGTAGACAAGGATCATGTTTCAAAACTTTGCAAACTCACATTGCTCTTGTTTTTTCACTTCCAGTTTGGTGCTGACATACAGAGATTGTGGCCATCTGGAATGGCTGGCAGAAGTCAGGTCCGGCAGAGTTAAGATTATGACTCAGGACAGCAAAAGGGAAACAACGGGATATACAGACAGGGACTATGTGGACTGTTTTGGTGATGAAAACACACTTCCAGCACCAGTCTCTACCTTCATCCTAACACAAGACTGGAGTATTTCTCCAAAGTATGTATGCATTGGCTTATCGTGAGCAGATGTTTCACCAACATCAATTCAGGGCTATGAGGGAAGCCACAAGATGCTTATGGCTTTAGGAACAAAGGTTCTGTGAGAGACTTCAGGAAGAGAGGATCTCCTAACCAGGACATTTCTCATATGAGTAGCAACTATGACAACTGTGACTCCAGGGAACCCCATCTCTCATGTTCCCCTGGTTCATGACGCACAGCTGAAGCCATTCATTCAACAGCTAGGAAATACCAGCTGAAATCCTCAACACACTTCATGGTAACAGCAGGCAGCCAAGTATCCCTACCACCCATGTTTAAAGGTATGTTTTACATATTTCCCCCTTGCTTTCTAAATTATATTACTGTGGGAGAGAAATAAAATGGGGAGACAACATACAGACTTTGAGAATTTATTACAAGATTCTATTGAGAAGCTGTATCTGAAGAAAATGTAATGGGTAATATTTTGGACAGAGTATCATATGCAAGGCACCATGTTTTTTTTTTTATTTATGCTATTTTGTGAATGAACTATGTTGCCAGTTCATTTAAAATTCACATACAATTCAAATACATCTAATGGGAATGACATCAGTTTGGTTAGGCAAGTCACGATGCTCTCAAAATAAAAGCTTTATTGAGCAACAAGAACAGTCATGCTCAGGACATTAAGCATCACATAAACAGTGCAGTACATTGCTTGCTCCTACGCATACCAAAGATCAACACAAACATAGATTAATCTTTCTCATTCTCCTCTTGCAGTTGATGCAAAAGATACTGTGCCATGTTCTGATGGCCTGCTGGTAAGCAGAAAGAACAGAAGGAATCTAGTGTCCAAAGACCTGGAGAGATTCCAAGGTCTCTTTGGTGTAAACTGTTGAATGTTTAATGCCTTACAAAACTCAACATTATGAGCATACAATCTTCTTGTGGTTCCATATGCATCTCTTTTCACTCCTACTTTTATGCTTCTTTCTTTCCTTCCACCCTCTTGGGCTGGGGGCTTCAATTCTTTCCAGAGCTCTGAGCTCAGAAAATGTGTCTTCCATCATCACCATTTTCCCCCTTGTGAACAGGATCAGTCTGTTTGATCAAATGTGGGCAAGCTGCCTAGGATGCTCTAATCAAGGCAAATAAACAGTAAGTCAGCTGTTAACTCAAAGAGTGTTGTAGAACAGAAAATTAATAGAAAGATATTGGGAGGAGATGCCTAAAAATGTGTGTAACATCACTTACGTCACACCAGCTCCCAACACAATGAACAAATTGCTTTCCAAAGCCTGCAGTTACAGAAGATGCAGGGAGTGGACTGTCAGTATTCTTACGCCAAAAAGTACAGAAATCGGGCAAGAAACATTATTAAACATATTACAAGTGATGCTGGATGATACACTGCTCATGACTGCATTAAATAACTAAAGAAGACAACTGCTTAAAAAAATTCCTTCTTGAACATTTTAAAGAAGATTGTGCTAAAGGTAGAAAGCAAAAAAATAAACACAAATTTCAATCCCAAACTCCAAAACTGGAGAAGGAAATTTTTCTCTGACTAGCCCAGGAAGCCAACTCAAAGTCGGCAAGTAACTACCACTGGTCCTTTCTATTCCAACATACAGCCACAGTATGTAAAAAAAATTTTGGACTCTAATTCCTGACCTAGCAAGCCAAAGGAGAGTGGTTTGTATTTACTTCACACTTTTCTTCCTAAAAGTCATGCGGGAATATTGATGCTGGATTAGATGAAAGAAGTATTTGAAAATATCTGAATATTTTGTTTGAATGCTAAATATTAGTTCCTGTACATTTTTTTCATTTGCATTCAGTCAAGATTCAGTGCTAGATGTAGCTGTCTCTCCTGCCCAAAACCAGCTTTAGGGAATGTTTTGTGTCAGTTTGGGTGATTGTTTTACTTATGATTGTTGAGAAATGTTAGTGTAAAACTGACGTATTTCTATCAGATTTGAATCTACCTCATATTCCCACTGTCCCTTACATACATAGGTCCCGCCACCTCTTCCAGGGGGAGGAAAAAAAAAAGAGGGGGGAATTTTGTGACCCGTAAATAAAGACTGAAAATAAAATGAAGCATGCATTCACACACACCTGCTTGAGATACTTTTCCTTCCTCAGTGATGTTTGTCTCTTATCTCTTCCAGGTCAGGTTCAGCTGGATTTAAAGAAGCTCCTGGTTTCCCACAAGGTCTGTTAACTCATTATCAGCATGCACTTCTGGAGCTTTTATTCCAGGTGTTACTGTCATTCACCAAGGGCTGTAATTCCAATGTATCCTCAGACTCCATCTAATAGCAGAAATGCTAGGTGCACACGGGCATGCACAGGTGTGAAGAACAAATGAGGGACAAAGGTTTTCTGTTTCCCTGCTTCACTTCTTTGTACGACTCTTGCAGCTTCTCTACCTTTGTTCAACGTTGATCAGTATTTTACCCTCATTTTTGCCTCTACTTTACAATGTCCCAAAACACCTTTTGGTACCAAAGAGATTTTTTACTCATGCTTCTACAGTTCCTCCTTCTCAAAAGCTTTGAGAAAATAAAGAGCTGATTATCTAGAAGTTTCTCTGGTGACACATATGCACGCTACAACATCAAAGGCCAGCTACAGGAACATTTTCGAAACATGCTGAATATACTAAAATAACAGGGAGAAAGGGAGATGGTAGAGAAATGGTGCTGCTTGCCCTCTGCAAGTTGAATTCTTCAAAAGCTTTATGTAAGTGACCACTACTACAGTGACTTGGGAATTACAGGATTGTGGCTGAGTGGGGTAACAGTGCTGGCACATGCCGGGGGAACTCAAGGAGGCAATTTAAATTGATTAGATTAAACTGAGAATTATACTAGTGTTATTTCAAGCAGGGTGTGGGCATACGAAAGGATGTACCCAAAAAACATTCAAAAGGAAAATTTCACAGTGCCCCACCTTATCTTCTGATTAATTTTACCAACGGGCAATTTAGTAGAACTTGTTCAACCCAAGAAAAAATGTCAAGTTTTGCTCAAAATAAACCATTCATGGAAAATTAATCTTCTATGAAGTTAGGCTTGAAAAATGAATTGTACGATTTCACCTCAAGATGTTCTGCAGTCCACAAAATCTATGCTCTTTTTTTATCATGTCTGGAATAGTTAATTCTAAAAATCCAGCATCTTCAACTTTTCTTGGGGACATAGCAAGAAACCCTCACAAAATTATTTAATGAGCAATGACCAGTTGGGCACTGATGAAGAATAAATGCATTCCAATAAAAAAAAGTCCTGAAAGCATGCACATAAATTTCATAACAAAGTTTTATTGTCTTTCAGCAGTTGATTGTCAATACATTCGACACACATGCTCATCAACAAATGTGTAGTCCCTTCGACGTAACATGAACTGAACAAATCCCTCAATGGAGTATTGTTTCCATCATTTCAATGAAATGAAAATAAACATTAATACTGCTCACTGTACTGCATATGATCTTTTTTGAATGCTTTTGCAATTTATTTCTGATTTTAGTAGGATTTTCTGAAGTTTTTTGAGTTGCTCTTTGAAGGGTTATTCTCAGTTGACAGTCAACAGTAATTCAAATCTTCATTTCAGAGATGCAATTTTATCTATTGTTTCAGGCAGATTCCTAGCAAACTTGTTGACCGTGTTCAACAAATACTGCTTACTTCCACAATAAAAACCTCTATATTTAAGATTGCCTACTAAACACTGTCAGATTCATGAGAAACATTCAAGCTGAAAGAAGTCATGCTTACTTTAAATCCTGTGTGATACATTCAGTTATTACAGATTGCCTCATGACAGTTCTTGTGAAAACCTTCAGTGACCTCACACTAACTTCAAATGCATCCAACAGTTCCCACAGAACAGTCCCCTCTACTCTCCACAACCTCACTGGATATATTACCTCAGGATTCAAATAAGAATCATAACTTTCCAAGCTGTCCAAATAAATAACCTTTTATCATATACTCCATTTCCAATACTGACCTGTAACAATAGCAGTGTGTTCATCTCCACATGATATAAGTACAGGCTTGTCATTTTTGAACCAGAACTTGCTAGGAACATCTTCTGCAAATTTGCTTTTTCCAAATGTGAAAACAGCACCTGACTCTAAAACACAAAAAGATAACACCAATTTTAGTGAGAACAAACTTTGCCTCATACATCTTGAAATTGCCATTTCCCATTAATTCAATTGCACATTTCAGTTTCCTATCTTTTTTTTAAAAATGGCTGAAGTGTTTTCTTCTATTCTGTTTCACCAAGACTACTTCATTTACAGGCTCACATTTTAGTCCTTCTGATTCTTCTTAGCCTCTGTGAATTTCCTAATAGAATAGCTATTGTTGGTGGTATATTGTGCTCTGAGGATACAGTAATTTATTTTGAAGTACACTAATGTACTTTACCACTACCCTCTGAGAAAAACTATTAGGTGCGTAAAAGAAAGAATAAAGAACTCTGAATAACTGCCCCCAGAAAGCAAAATCAAAAGCTCACTCTGAAAGCAGGTTGAGGTAAAGAGTTCTCACTTATGTTTATACTTGAATACAAACAGGTTTTCCAAATTGCATTAGAGAGACACACACACTGTAAAGAGGTGACAGGCTCTAAACTGATCACGCTTCCTCACCCATCTGAGAAGATACACGTGCTTCAAAAACGGTCCCCTGAAATCAAAACTCTCAGCCTTCAAAACCTGGGTTGGCACAACTGTATTTGATTATAAGACCGTGATCTAGAAAATCCAAACAAAAACACCCCAAAATAAAGTCCAGACAGCTCTTCCACCCTTGGAATTTGTCTAGTTTTCTCAATTCTTCCCACTTTCAAAAGTGTCAGCAATGTTGTTTTAAAACATAGAATGTTAACTATTCACTCACTCTTTGGTTAAGCAGGTGGCTTGACACAGAAAATATTAATTCTATAGGAAAATAAACGAACATACAAGTTAAATAATTTGCCAAAAGTCATGCAGACAATGTGGCAAAACACAATTAGACCTGCTATTTTAAAATGTCAAAAATTACGCTTAAGCATAGGATCATATTCTGGAAGAAAAAACAAAGGCAAAACTAAACCTTTTCCTTGCAGACTTTTTGTTAATGTGTAAGCTATGGTAACACAAACACACAGTAACACTAGACTGCTTCTGTAAAACTACCTATAATTTGATAACATTGAAACATCTATGTGTATTTACTTTCAATGAAAACAATCTCATCAATAGTCTGCACTCCAGCTCCAAAACCCAAAGTTCTCTCTTAAACTGTAAATCTGATACTCATTTTGAAATGATTCTTTCATGAAAAAGTTTCCCATATTTGCAAACCGCATGTTGTTTTATGTATCAGGTCCAGCAGACATATATAAAATTGTATTTGTCATCTCTCTAGATGTGTGTCACTTTCACTGTTTTATTAAAAACAAGCCCTGTCCAGATGAACTCAAGCCTTTTAAAGAAAGGGTTGAGTTTTTCCACATTTTATGTAGACACACCTACAGCCACAGACATGCTAGAAGGCATCTGAAAACTATTCTGTTTTTCAGTCTCCAGCCAGACAGCCATGCTGCGCATTTAAACATGCTTACAGCGATCTCGTCGGCACTTGTGCCAAAGCAGAGCTCTCTGGTGCATTTCTTATTCTATCATCAGAAGCTTTAACATGAGGAAATACACATATTCTTCATCCAGTGGATAGAAAAAAGGAGACGATTCAATTCACAAACTTCCTTTGTATCTCATTCATTTCACAGCTGAAACCTAAGCCACCAGTTTGGAAATTAAATCCCACCAATTCATTAAAAATTTAAATCCACAGAACATCAAAGAGGTTTTTGTCGTCTCGGGACCAAGCAAACGATTAAAAACCACCGCAGGTCAAACCACGGACCAAGACTCACTCATTAACCGGAAAGCCCTGCCTGCTTAACACTGCACCACTGCACCACGCCGGTGACGACAGCAAGGTTGCCCTCCGCGTAATCTCTGACGTCAGCGCACGTATTTCTCCCCGGACGCCGGAAGACACCGGCCGGAGCCCGGCGGCCCGCAGGCCGGAGGGA